TATATATATGTGTATATATGTGTATATATATGTATATATATATATATACATATATCAGTTGCTGTTGGCACATTAAAGCATACTAATATTAAAAACACAAGATAGCATTATTAATTTGAACATGCGGATCTGTGAAAGTCTGCAATGTTCTGTCTGCCAAACGGTGAGGCATCAGCTCAGCAATCAGAGCTGGATGTGACTGGTGACTGTCAGTAGAGGGTTCATCAAACAGGGACTGACTTTGATTATCTTTAGTCTTTGTCCTCTAAAAGCTGAAGGAATTCAAAAACCTGAAAGCTGAAAATGTCCAAAAGTGCGTGACATCACGCTGCATGAATGAGTGTTGTTTTATAGATGTAATCTGAAAGCAAAACTGATATTCAGTAAGATTTCATAAGAGACTCATTTGTTGTCTCTCTTTCTTCTTCTGCTTTCTCCTTATCAAGGGTGTGGTGGAGGGATGGCACAACACAGAAGAGCCTCCTCGTCAGGCCAGGACTCTGCAGTCTATTTACACCTACACTGGACACTCTTTCAATGATGAGGATGTTCACATCCTGGACAGGGAGGAACGCTGGTTTGAGGGCGGAGTCAAGGGAAAGACCATCTCTGAATCGAGGAGGGGGCCTAAGGATACATCTTTTGCCATCTTACATGCTGTGATTGCAGCCATTCCCCAACTCTCTGTGAATGGGACTCATGGACATTGATCAACAGCCACTGATCAATGTTCATGAGAATTTGCATATTAATGATCAAGGAACTGACCTCACAGCCCATTGTTCCTTCAGTGGTGCTGGTTACATTGTGCAAATGTCCTGTTTATAAGGTTGGAAACCTGCAGTCAGCTGGGACTGAAGACGTCACCTGGATGAGTGACGACATGTTTCTCTCACTGAAAACATCCAGATGATCAGAATCAACTTGTACAGCAGTACCCACTAAGGTACCGCCCCTTTGGACAGCATTCTTCTGAACTCCACTTTACAGAAACGTTAAACTTGTAACAATTCTTTACCGCAATTTACCAGAAAACTGGATTTATCTGGCATTCAAGCTTTATCTCTGCACCTCACCACGCACAGCAAGAACAGACCACTCTGTGCCACCTTGTCACTGAAATACAAGACCGATACAGAATGAAGCAAATGAATGAGAATGAAAGGCTGTCTTAAATACTTTCCCATCCATTTTCTCTTATCCAGTTTAGACAGCCAGGAGCACGGCCCAGCGGATGTTGGGCAAGAGGCAGGCTTCATTGTCACCAGGTTTGTCAGTCTGTTCCAGGGCGAATTTAACTAAACAATAAATAAATGAATAAATAAAAATGGCTATTTTATCTAAATTCTTATTGGTTTCAACCACTTTAAATTTGAAAAGAAACAGTGTAAACTTTAGCAGTGCCTTTCCTACGCAAGAACAAACACTGTGGACTAAAGTGTTTGTGCTGATGTTGGAGCTCCGCTGTATCGAGCCAGCTGAGCGGTGGAGACTTTTATGGGTTTTATGAGCCTCAACATTCGGCAACCCCAGTGAACTCTCTAAAACGACCCACCAGTGTTTGTAAAGAGCGTAGATGCTTGACTTTACACACCTGTGGCATTAGGACCCTTTTCCATATAGTGCATTAAGGCCCGAGACAGTTATTGATGTTCTATAATTATCAGACTTTTCTCATATTACAATAGTCCTGACAGAAAACTGGCAGGAAAGAACGTTTTATTTTTAAGAGTAACTGCTGTTGTTAAGGAGCAAGAACACACTCAGCTAACGTGCTCCACAATAATAACTTGAAAAGTCAGAGACACAAAGTGTCGCCCTCCTCTAATCTACAACACTCCTTATCTGTGGTCGAACATGCCAGCTACGTGGAGTCCTTGTTTCTCTGTCACAGTGTGAAGTGAATACAAACATTAAAAAGAAATGGCATGCTTAAGCCATTTACTCCCAGAGAAATCCAGATTTCAGAGCAAACCTACGCAGCTCTCATGAACAGATGGGCACAACAGCGTATGCCACAGGTACTTGAGTGCAGCTAATGGGTCACTGAAACCTTTTTTTTAATGATCTAGGACACGTTGATCCTGCAGACACTCAAAGACAAAGTCCTGGAGCTCAGCTCAGTCCGGGGAAAACTAGAACGAGCTATTCCAAGTATGAATGATAAACTGTGATTAATCTTTCCTACTTTTTTACTAGAAGTATCCAGTTTTGAAACATTTTAAATCTATAATTCATGAACTTTAACTATTTAATCAATTCAACACTGTTCAACTGCAACTTTGTTAAAATAAATCCCAAATGCTTTACAGTAGAAAACAAAAAAATGTGATACACGTTTTGATATAAGGAAACAGAAAAATAAAGCGCACATAAGGTTAAACTGTCCAGAACAAAAGGACAGCATAGATTCGACTGATTAAAAAACAAAGACAACGCTGGAAGTTTGAATGTTTTACCTCTGCTTGATTTCATGGTGTGTTTCTTTCCCATCATGTGCCACAGTTTGGCCACAGTGGGAGTACTCTCTGTCCAAATATTTATTTTGATTCCATGGAGAGACTCCTCCCGCGCTCCTCCCCTTGAGATACACTGCAGTAAATGTTTAATCTGTGTGTGATAATTTCAGCGTACACCCTCTTCCTGTGGGTAATGTCTGTGCTGCAAAGTTCAGTGGACTGAAAGTACGAAGACTTCCTGTTCTGTCTCAACAAATGACTTTTAGTTAAAACGGGTTTTAATTAAAACTAATGTGTGCCCGCTTACAAGAGCGATAGGCTGTCAAAGCCTGAGCTACAGCAACTGCAATAAAATTTCAAGAATGGGTTTAAAGTTGAACTGGAAATAAAGACAAAAGGAAGATGGAAGAGATGTAAGCAATCAGAAGTCAGTCATCTATTCAGCTGAAAACGTTAATGATGACATATGACCTGGCAGTAAAAATGTTAGATGGGCAACCCGAGCCTGAAATGTCTGCTCAATAACTGATACTAGCACCCCTGATCATTGATCAATGGAAGTGAAAAGTTTCTATTTCAAGATCCACAGTCTAAAAACAAGTTAATATATCTTACTGGGATGTTACCCTTTAGTTCAATTTGTCTTAAGTGCGATAAGATTATTTTGACTAGAAACAAGACAAATATATGTGCTAAGATTTTGAGTTTTTGCAGTGCATAACAGCAGGGTGTAAGATGCTAGCAGCAGGGCATACATGGAACGCCAGTGTACAGAAACATCTGTGCCAAGTGTGTCCTGGAAGCCCTGAGGTCAAAATGGGAGACGCCGCCACGAGTGGTGGAGAATGACTGAGCTAAGACCCTGTGGGATCCAGATACAGACGGACAAAGTGATGACTAACCAACCGGATACACAGCGGCTTGCAAAAGTATTGGGCCCCTTGAACTTTCCCACATTTTGTCACATTACAGCCACAAACATGAATCAATGTTATTGGAATTCCACGTGAAAGACCAACACAAAGTGGTGTACATGTGAGAAGTGGAACGAACATCATTCAGGATTCCCAACATTCTTTACAAATAAATAACTGCAAAGTGTGGTGTGCGTAATTATTCAGCCCCTGAGTCAATACTGTGTAGAACCACCTCGCAGCTGCAGTTCCAGCTGCCAGTCTTTTAGGGTCTGTCTCTACCAGCTTTGCACATCTACAGACTGAAATCTTTGCCCATTCTTCTTTGAAACAGCTCCAGCTCAGTCAGATTAGATGGGCAGCGTTAGTGAACAGCAGTTTTCAGGTCTTGCCACAGATTCTGGATTGGATTTAGATCTGGACTTTG